GTTACCACGGCTCGATAAAGTAAGTAGGCAGTTACCACGGCTCGATAAAGTAATTATACAGTTACCACGGCTCGATAAAGTAAGTAGGCAGTTACCACGGCTCGATAAAGTAATTATACAGTTACCACGGCTCGATAAAGTAAGTAGGCAGTTACCACGGCTCGATAAAATAAGTAGGCAGTTACCACGGCTCGATAAAGTATATAGACAGTTACCACGGCTCGATAAAGTAAGTAGGCAGTTACCACGGCTCGATAAAGTAAGTAGGCAGTTACCACGGCTCGATAAAGTATATAGACAGTTACCACGGCTCGATACAGTAAGTAGGCAGTTACTCGATAAAGTAAGTACAGATACCACGGCTCGATAAAGTATATACCACGGCTCGATAAAGTATAAAGTAGGCAGTATACCACGGCTCGATAAAATATATAGACAGTTACCACGGCTCGATAAAGTAAGTAGGCAGATACCACGGCTCGATAAAGTATAAAGACAGTTACCACGGCTCGATAAAGTAAGTAGGCAGTTACCACGGCTCGATAAAGTAAGTAGGCAGTTACCACGGCTCGATAAAGTATATAGACAGTTACCACGGCTCGATAAAGAAAGTAGGCAGTTACAACGGCTCGATAAAGTATATAGACAGTTACCACGGTTCGATAAAGAAAGTAGGCAGTTACCACGGCTCGATAAAGTAAGTAGGCAGTTACCACGGCTCGATAAAATATATAGACAGTTACCACGGCTCGATAAAGTATATAGACAGTTACCACGGCTCGATAAAGTAAGTATGCAGATACCACGGCTCGATAAAGTATAAAGACAGTTACCACGGCTCGATAAAGTAAGTAGGCAGTTACCACGGCTCGATAAAGTATAATGACAGTTACCACGGCTCGATAAAGTAAGTAGGCAGTTACCACGGCTCGATAAAGTAAGTAGGCAGTTACCACGGCTCGATAAAGTAAGTAGGCAGTTACCACGGCTCGATAAAGTAATTAGACAGTTACCACGGCTCGATAAAGTAAGTAGGCAGTTACCACGGCTCGATAAAGTATATAGACAGTTACCACGGCTCGATAAAGTAAGTAGGCAGATACCACGGCTCGATAAAGTATAAAGACAGTTACCACGGCTCGATAAACTAAGTAGGCAGTTACCACGGCTCGATAAAGTATGAAGACAGTTACCACGGCTCGATAAAGTAAGTAGGCAGTTACCACAGCTCTATAAAGTATATAGACAGTTACCACGGCTCGATAAAGTAGGTAGGCATTTACCTAGGCTCGATAAAGTATATAGACAGTTACCACGGCTCGATAAAGTAAGTAGGCAGATCCCTCGGCTCGATAAAGTATATAGACAGTTACCACGGCTCGATAAAGTAAGTAGGCAGTTACCACAGCTCTATAAAGTATATAGACAGTTACCACGGCAGTACCACGGCTCGATAAAGTATCGGCTCGATAAAGTAAGTAGGCAGTTACCACGGCTCGATAAAGTAAGTAGGCAGATACCACGGCTCGATTAAGTATAAAGACAGTTACCACAGCTCGATAAAGTAAGTAGGCAGTTAGGACGGCTATAGTAGGCAGTTTACCACAGCTCGATAAAGTAAGTAGGCAGTTACCACGGCTCGATAAAGTATATAGACAGTTACCACGGCTCGATAAAGTAAGTAGGCAGTTACCACGGCTCGATAAAGTAAGTAGGCAGTTACCACGGCTCGATAAAGTATATAGACAGTTACCACGGCTCGATAAAGTAAGTAGGCAGTTACCACGGCTCGATAAAGTAAGTAGGCAGTTACCACGGCTCGATAAAGTAAGTAGGCAGATACCACGGCTCGATAAAGTATATAGACAGTTACCACGGCTCGATAAAGTATAAAGACAGTTACCACGGCTCGATAAAGTATATAGACAGTTACCACGGCTCGATAAAGTAAGTAGGCAGTTACCACGGCTCGATAAAGTATATAGACAGTTACCACGGCTCGATAAAGTAAGTAGGCAGTTACCACGGCTCGATAAAGTATAAAGACAGTTACCACGGCTCGATAAAGTAAGTAAGCAGTTACCACGGCTCGATAAAGTAAGTAGGCAGTTACCCCCCCCCCTCCCCTCCCCAAGGATTGTACAAAAGAGGCACAATTAAATAGCACTCTTAAATAGGAATTTGTATCGAAAACTAAACTGAATATGTCTGCGTCAAACATACGTTTCTAGAGTAATGTGGAAGTCACGATAGAGAAAATAATAATAATAAAAAAAGAAAAAATCATTTAGTCTCGGGGTAAGTTAGAATTAATGTTATCTGGATGCAAGCTCCAGTAATAAAAAAAGGTTTTAGATTTGATTTATGATATTTCTACTATAACAATAAGGTTTTTCAGTAAATTTAATATTCAACCATACATGACATAAAAAAACCCTGATGGTACAATGTATGGGTATGTAACGTAGGACAAGCGCCGGATTTAGGTGTTCAGAATTGAAAGCATGAACGCATAGCAATTGTACTGGAAAATATTTACAGTTTATTTAATACAAATACCAATCCACACTAAAGCAGGTTCACACTCACTCTCACTTCCACTAACCAGCACATAAAGTTCGAAATATGAGTTCAACACAGTAAACACATAAAGTTCACCTTCCCATTTACAAGAATTCAAGCATGTAGCTGTACCTTAGCACAACACTCGTTCCCATGCAATATCCCTCGCGCGTGTCACTTGGGATGACTTCAACAAGCCTTCCTCACAACTAGTGGGCTACACTCATTTGCTACACAATTGGAAATGGCTTCCGTTTCCAGATCCCATACTAACAGTTGACATGTTGTAAAATGTCCCTTCTGCTCCTTGACCCGCCCGTAGTTAGCATCCAACTTCCTGTGGCTGACCTCGGTCTCTGACCGGCCCTGTTGCCGAAGCGGTGGTTGTTACTGGGTCCCGATGGATTATAATAGGGAATCACTCAGTTATGGAAAGCTTCAACAAAAATGCACACAATCATTCACACCAATATCCTCCATACATATGATGATATAACTTTAATATAACATCAAATGTACCTTTACACGTTAAACCCCTATTCATATGATAATAAATACACCATATTGCATTAAAATAAAGACATCGTCACGTGACGGTCCATTTTACACTATCAAATATTCAAACAATATAACGCATATGGCGTCTACAGACTGCCATACTTTATTTTATACCGGCGTCACGTTCCAACCTAGTTTTACCTGTTTATGGACATTTGTACAAAATGTTACCATTTACGTTCTTCAATATACTGCATTTAACATATAATAATCACTACAATATATCTTCCCAAAAACTAGACATGGCAATACTAATATATACTAAAAGGATAAAGAAACGCAGGGTGAACTTTAAACCAGAAATTAAGTATGATATCGGGCTTCATTTAAAACGAAATTTTGTATACTTACAGATAAATTAAAGCTTAAAAATTTCCAAAGTCAGTATTTTGCATCTGACAATTGGTTTAGAGGTACTAACGATTAAATTGAATGGACCCATAGGATTTTGAAATTGAAATTGAACCGAGTCATCAATATCTTGTGTGTCATTGCCATCAATAACAATCAATTGTGATTTTAACCGGTGTGAGATTCCTCCCCACACCATTACTGAATCGCCCCCAAACCTATCCCTCTCTACAACGCAAGCGTCCGTAAAACGTTCGCCACGACGTCGGTAGACACGTTGACGGCCGTCAGATCGATAAAGACAGAATCCGTGAAGAAAACTTGTCTCCACTGCCTCAGTGGAAACCGTCGTGGAGCATGTGCAGCGACCCAGGACATACGACGCTGACGTCGAGCAGGGGTAAGGTGTGGACCTACGTAGGGGCGACGTGCTCTTACACCAACTTCTCGTAATCGATTCCTTACAGTTTTTGAACTTATAGGACGCCTATGATTTCCACGAACATTAAGTGCACTCTCAACGGCAGTAAGGCGCCGATTACGCACATGAGAGACGACGATATAGCGATCCTGACGTCGTGACGTTACGCGCGGACGTCCTGACCTAGGTCGATCGGCCAATCGCCCAGTTTCCCGAAGACGTCTTACAAGACGTTCTATGGTGGAAAAATTAACACCAAAGTGCCTAGCAACCTGATTTTGCGACTGTCTTTGTATCAGCATCTGAATGGCCTGACTCCTATCAACTTCTGTGAGTCGTGCCATTCTTAAAAAAATCAAATTCTCAATTAATTTTAGAGAAGCAGTTGGTCTGTATAAAGACTAACGAAGAGTGACTTGACCAACGCTGCATGAGATCAGAACAACACGGTGCACGATATCCTTGTTTTTTCCTTCCCCCATTTACCAGAGCTGCGCACTGTACCGTGACTAAATTTTCGATACATGACAAGGTGTAATATGACCTAATTAACTCAATCCACAAAGTTTCACTTTATTTAGAGAACGCGTTTTCAAAATATCGGAATAAATATTACCCTGCGTTTCTTTATCCTTTCAGTATATCAATATACACACACGTTTACAACTCCTAATCAATCGCTGCGCTTGATTGGACCGCACGCAAAGATAAATATATACGCTAGAAATACATTTACCCGGAAAATAAGACACTCAAAAGAACCAAATTAGTGAAATGAAAGATATGTAACAATATTGGTTACTCACCATAGTCCGTATTCCGAGCCTGAATCCATGTTAACCGATAACTCGTCTACAGGTCAAAACTACACAACCATTACTCATGGAATACCTTACCTGTCATCCGCACGTGCACTTCCGCCCTAGCCGTACTAATATTTGTGCCATACAGTAACGAACATACGAACAGATGAAACATAGAAAAACATACGGACAATTACATGCGATCGTGACAGGGTACATGTTGAAATAGTTTAGATTTTGCACGAATCAACTGAAAATCAACATCATTTATAATATGTCATGTGTTTTATTGATTCTCGTTGTAGGTGCCATGTTAATGGCGACAGTTCTGAAAGGTTTAGATGATTTTGAGACGACGTGTCTGACACGTGCAATGATGAACTCTGGTGAAGTCATGTCTTGGCCAGAAAAATGGCGTGGAAAGATTGTGGACAAACACAGTACGGGAGGCGTTGGTGACAAAATCAGCCTCGTTCTGGCCCCAATCTTAGCATCTTGTGGCATGAAGGTAACATCAGTTGTTTATTTATTTATCTATTTATTTATATAAAGGGTTTTACATCCACTATTACGGCCTTTCGGCCTTTCAGCGGACGAACCATCAGTTGTGCACTCGCTCCATTCAAATGAAATTGCGTATGAATACAAAACATTTTATTTAAAAATGAGCAGTATAGAACACATCTTTATACTATACCAGTAGGCCCTGTTAGTTCGGCAACTTAAGTGTCAACTCTACGATACACAAAATGTACACTACTGATAAAACTACCTTATAATTATGATGAATTCGAGAGTAACGGAGCGAGAAATAGAATCTCGATTTCATTCAGAATGCTGAATACATTACCAGAAGGCAGACAATTCTGTAACAGAGTTACCTCTCTGTGTATTCAGATGACTGTTTCAAATAGTAGAGAAATGCATAGAATGGCCTTATCTACAACATGTACGAGGTATACAGTACAAGCGTGATGGACATGCCTGCTGTGTTCAGTCTTTGTGTAGAAGACATGACAGATCTATTCAGTCTTTGTGTAGAAGACATGTGTGATCTATTCGGTCTTTGTGTAGAAAACATGTGTGATCTATTCGGTCTTTGTGTAGAAGACATGTGTGATCTATTCAGTCTTTGTGTAGAAGACATGACTGATCTATTCAGTCTTTGTGTAGAAGACATGACTGATCTATTCAGTCTTTGTGTAGAATACATGACATATCTATTCAGTCTTTGTGTAGAAGACATGTCTGATCTATTCAGTCTTTGTGTAGAAGACATGACAGATTTATTCAGTCTTTGTATAGAAGACATGACAGATCTATTCAGTCTTTGTGTAGAAGACATGTGTGATCTATTCAGTCTTTGTGTAGAAGACATGTGTGATCTATTCAGTCTTTGTGTAGAAGACATGTGTGATCTATTCAGTCTTTGTGTAGAAGACATGACTGATGTGTGCATTGTGAATTTAGGCGTTATGTCTGATATATGTATTCACCTAGTTTCTTGCTAGACCCTTTTACATTGCCTATGTTCATGATATGGGCGACATTACATCAAACAACTTGTACAATGATTCTGTTGCCATTTGTTTTATCTGTTGAATAGTATGGTACCCACTTTAAGTTGCAAAAATTGCGCTAAGATTTTTTTTCCCCCAAATTATAATAGACTAGTCATATTGTGAATTTGTTTGAGTAACGAGAATATTCAATATCTGAATCGATAAAACGAAAGAAAAGACAGATATACACGATGATCTATAAAGAAGTTAATGTCAACGTGTGCGAATAATAAGGAATCGTTACAGTAGTCTACCATACACCATGTAACCAACTGAACACTTGCCCTGTTGATCCAATACCAAAGGGGCAAGGAAAGCAACAACATCTGCTGACTAGTTCTTCAACTGTTACTTCATCTTTGGAAGATGACGGGTATACAACATTTTTGCATTTTCTTCCTTTCCCCACAGGTACCTATGGTGTCGGGCCGGGGACTTGGACACACCGGTGGAACCTTGGACAAGTTAGAATCGATCCCAGGATTCAGCGTTGCCTTTAACACATCCGCCATGAGGAGTATACTGGAGGACGTGGGATGTTGTATTGTTGGTCAGACAGAAACATTAGTACCTGCCGATAAAAAGTTATACGCCACCCGTGACATCACAGGCACAGTGGATAGCGTTGGATTGATATCATGTTAGTGCACGAATACATAGCAGAATATAGTATGTAATGAACCTGTACTCTTACAATGAAAACTATACTAAAAGGATAAAGAAACGCAGGGTGAACTTTAAACCAGAAATTAAGTATGATATCGGGCTTCATTTAAAACGAAATTTTGTATACTTACAAAAAAATTAAAGCTTAAAAATTTCCAAAGTCTGTATTTTGCATATGACATTTGGTTTAGAGGTACTAACGAATAAACTGAATGGACCCATAGGATTTTGAAATTGAAATTGAACTGAGTCATCAATATCTTGTGTGTCCACTGTTTGCTGTGGTCACAGCCCGTATTCTTCTGGTCATAGAGTTCATGAGAGCGTTAATCCGTCTTATGGGGATGTTGTCCCACTCTTCAATCAGAGCTCTGGTCAACTGCTCTCGAGTAGCAGGGGGTGGCTGGCGCTTACGAACCTGTCTATTCAACTGGTCCCAAAGATGCTCAATCGGGGACAAATCAGGGCTATATGGCGGCCAATCTAGTGGTTGAATGTTGGTGTTGGCCAGAAAGACTTGGCAAACCCTTGCTACGTGGGGCCTAGCATTATCCTGCTAGAGGGTTAGATTATGCTGCTGTAAGAAAGGGATCTCATCTCTATACTTAGCTGCTGTTAAATTGCCATCAATAACAATAAATTGTGATTTTAACCGGTGTGAGATTCCTCCCCACACCATTACTGAACCGCCCCCAAACGCCACGACGTCGGTAGACACGTTGACGGCCGTCAGATCGATAAAGACAGAATCGAGACTCGTCCGTGAAGAAAACTTGTCTCCACTGCCTCAGTGGAAACCGTCGTGGAGTATGTGCAGCGACCCAGGCCATACGACGCTGACGTCGAGCAGGGGTAAGGTGTGGACCTACGTAGGGGCGACGTGCTCTTACACCAACTTCTCGTAATCGATTCCTTACAGTTTTTGAACTTATAGGACGCCCATGATTTCCACGAACATTAAGTGCACTCTCAACGGCAGTAAGGCGCCGATTACGCACATGAGAGACGACGATATAGCGATCCTGACGTCGTGACGTTACGCGCGGACGTCCTGACCTAAACCGATCGGCCAATCGCCCAGTTTCCCGAAGACGTCTTACAAGACGTTCTATGGTGGAAACATTAACATCAAAGTGCCTAGCAACCTGATTTTGCGACTGTCCTTGTATCAGCATCTGAATGGCCTGACCCCTATGAACTTCTGTGAGTCGTGCCATTCTTAAACCGAATCAAATTCTCAATTAATATTAGAGAAGCAGTTGGTCTGTATAAAGACTAACGAAGAGTGACTTGACCAACGCTGCATGAGACCAGAACAACACGGTGCACGAGATTCTTGTTTTTTCCTTCCTCCATTTACCAGAGCTGCGCACTGTACCGTGACTAAATTTTCGATACATGACAAGGTGTAATATGACCTATTTACTCAATCCACAAAGTTTCACTTTATTTGGAGAACGCGTTTTCAAAATATCGGAATAAATATTACCCTGCGTTTCTTTATCCTTTCAGTATATATCTGATGTCTAGAAATGTAGTGTTTCATCTTTTTTGACATTTGATGTTTTATTATGATATGTTGTAGCGTCAATCGTCAGTAAGAAAGCCGCAGAAAATTTAGATTTTCTCATTTTGGATGTGAAATGTGGAAAAGGCGCGAGCACTAATTCGGAAGAAGAAGCTTTTGAGTTGGGCACTCGCATGGTATTTCAGCCTAAGTTTTTTTATAATCCAATATTGTGTCTTTAAATGTTTTAAATGTTCTCAATCTTTGCTGCTACGTAGTGATGTTTCTTTATTAACACCTCTGTCAACTTCGATTAATTAATTAATGATCATGAATATTTTTTGCGGCATTAAAATGTTTATATCCGTCTTTGTGTTTATCGACCTTCCTCTCTTCATTGATTTAGGTCAATATTGCCAACGGTCTCGGTATCAATACGGCAGCCTTGATGACTGAAATGACAAACCCGATTGGTCAAGCGATTGGAAACGCTCTCGAAGTGGCTGAGTCCCTGAGTTGCCTCCACGGCAAAGGACCTAAAGACGTCATGAACCTTGTCTACCAGTTGGGTAAGTTGGTGAAAATGAAACAGGAATTTTATTGATATGCCGAATTCCTGGTACAAGATATGGTACCATTTGAGATATATTGGTCTTCAGAAACATATGTCACATTCTTTGTTATCGAAAGTGGTATTTCTTCATAGGTCTTTTGTTTCATGTTTTAGGTGGTCATTTATTGTCAAGAGCTGGTTTGAAGGAGACGGTCGAGATGTCCTGTAGTATGATGGAGGCTCTAGTACGTGACGGAAAAGCAATGGACTGCTTCAGGAGGATGATAATAGCCCAGGGCGTAGCGGAGGATACTGCTAAGCGTTTGTGTGACCCAGAAAATGATGTTTGGGCCATTCTTCCCAAAGCAAAACACGTTACAGGATTGAAAAGTGACAAAAAAGGTTTGCCGTTTTGTTTGCAATTGAATTTTTGTTGCGTTTGTTTACAAAAAATTACTTATAGAAGCATTTAAGCTGATAGATTTAAATCTTTCTTTCATTATTGATGGTTGTTATGCATTCTCCTGACTACTTATTCAAAGGAACAACTAAAGCCAGGATAAGAACAATGCATTTAAAATGTCGCTCTAATTTCAGGATTCATCCATGAAATTGACTCTAAACGGTGTGCTATTGCCTCTGGAAAGATGGGAGCCGGTAGAAGCAAGAGTGGTGACGTCCTCCAATTCGGTGTTGGCCTTATGTTACAAGTTGGTGTTGGCGATGCGATTGACAAAGGTAAACAATCTGACATTTACCAGACCTCCACAATTTGTTAGAAGTTTTGCTTGTTTAATCTAATAACGTTGTCCCTGTTATTTATGAATTGCATATATATTTACACCAACACTGATGCATGTACGACTGCATTGTTCCTCGTCCCTGTGGAAAATAGTGACCCGTACATTGCATATTTACTTGCAAAACAATGAAGATTTTAATTTCTTAACTGACACTTATATGATAAACTACATGGCACGATATTTAATAATTATTTTGTTACAGGTGATGTATGGGTTAACGTTCACCACGATACGGACTCAATTCCCGTGGACGTACTGACCGAGTTAGAACAAGCTTTAGTGGTTGAAGACCAGGAACTGACTAGCAAAAACGAATCACGAGTTATGAAGGTCATCACCAGTTCACTCGACATGCACTAGGAAACACTATAGTGTGCTTCTTAAGATTTCAAAGAAATTCGTTTTTATTTCATTAGGATGTTAGCTGTGTTGCTAATACTTAACGCTGTAAGGTTTTCATATCATAGTAAGATAGCTAACAGATGTTTCTATTGCACAAAATTTATTGTTGATGATCATATAAGATTCTTAGAAATATATTGAAAGGGGGCAATTTAATTCCGAGGTATTAATGATGAAGGGATTTTAACACGCTAAATGGACCAGAAAATTTGACATATCCCAATATCTTAATGTCAGGTTAAACTAATTCATATTGGTACATATTCTAGAGTATTATATTCACTGTAAGTACCAGCGGCATATAGTTGTTGTTATTGTGGTCTGCACTCGTTATTACAATATCTATATGATGTGCTAATTTCATGTTTACTTTATCCTAAGATGTAACTTGTAAGGATAGACATAATGTATACGAGTTCAGATTCTGCACATAGTGTAAATATACTGAGAATTTCATAATATTTGTCCTTATTCTAAACAGCTATATCTGGATCAGTTTGTATGATACAAGGATGAGGTTTGAAGCTAAATGAAGTTTTAACACAAAAATTAACACAATGTAAAACGTACAGGAAAATAATGACTTTATGATAACTTTTACATCGTCAATTGTCCATTGGCTCCATCAGAGAACAATGTGCTGAAATTGTATTATGAATGCAATTACTTAACCAGTGTACATGTATACATGTATTTATTTGTTTTCATTATAACATATCTCATGTTTTTTATGTTTTAAGTCTAGATTAAGTATTGATTACAAATTGATGAGGAAAGAAAATAGTGTTTAAACACTAGACTTGTGTTCTATAAACTTTTCAAAATGTCGCTTCCTATATGACTGGGCATACCGTACTAATGTATAAATTGGGCATTTAGAATATGTGTATCAATAAGTTATTTCTCGTTTCTTTATTATTAATGATTTAAGTTGACATATTCAGTTGTAGACTTTGCTAGTATCGACCGATCTAGATCTCATCGAAAATATACTTGCAATATATTAAACAAAACTGCCTAATAACGGTCGTGTCTGATTTCGAAATTTAAATTTGTAATTTTTCAAAAAGGGCATTTTTTTCAACATCTTTGTTTCATAAAGAATCAGAAACTGATTTCAGCCTGCGTTATCTCCTCTTACATTTATACTAAAAATACGCATTAAATGATACATAAGTGCCTTTTGTTAGTAAATGTGAATGTTTCTATTCCCTCAGGTGTGTATGCTTCGTTTTTACATCTCGACGTTGTTCTTACTCAGAGAGTAGATCTAGATATCTATATGTCAAACATAACGTATACACTTATTTTACATATCATACACATACTTGTAGAGAAGAAAGGTGGACTTTACACCGAGATCACTCTAGGTCAGGTAGTTAGAACGAAGCATATGGATGAATTCTAGATAAAGGAGGTTGTATGATTTAATTGAGTCAGTGTTCTGTCTTGAATTTTTGATGTGATATTTTGACGATATGATTTATAACCATTTCGCCTTAAGTTTTCCTTTTTGAGTTTGACATTTTGTGCCTTGTGCCATACATCTTGTTCGAAAATGCATGTTCCATAACCGTGGTTTGTTACGACCCGAAGACAGGTCACAATCGGACAAAGTTTGATGTTGTAACCCTTGTAGCACGACGTGATATACGCAATCGGTTAAATGTGTACGTGAAGAAAAGGATCAGCAACAGAGGCCAACAGAGGACAACAGGGATGCAGCTGTTTGGTTATGTAGACTTGAAAAATGAAATAGAGCTCCATTTGCAGTATTTTTTCTAAATGATTCATTATTTACATGTTAATGTCGTGAACACCATATTTTTTATCGGGCTTTATATCAGTATTAACTTTCAAAAATTAATTGAAAAATGGGAGCAATGTCCAACGTTTAACTTGGAGTTGAAGTTAACAAGCCGTTTACATAAGGTTAGGGCTGAACGCATACATGTTTTTCCTGAATCGAAATGTTATCAAGTTAGAATTAATGGTGAATTATTGTCAGCTATGCATAAATAGTGTTACTATGACCCATATATGTGATAAAAACTATATTAAAATACAAAAAAATATGTATGACATTGCAAGAATGATAAAATTCGTTCTCGTTACATATTCACACGGATGAAAGCAAAATTAATTTTCATTTCATCTTTAAGGAATATTAATTGGATTTGTAATAGAACATTGAAACGTAACCATGTTACAACTTTCCTTGAACAGTATTCAGAAAATAAATGCCCTGATATGTATGGTTTTTAGGGAAACTTATATAATGTTTGGCATTTTAGGATTTTAAAATGTATTTTTCAGGGGTTTTATTGTAGATATATAATGACGGTCAATAAAACTTGTTTTGTATGTATTTAGTGTTAGGTCTATTGTGGACAAAAACAAATAGATTTACCTATTTTGTATGATGAACTTTTGGTTTGGTCATATAATCTTTGTCTGAAACAGTGTATAGCGTTGTGTTGTATCTAACAGCTTCAGTACAGATCGCTTTTTCTTGCTACCCTTCAACATGAGAAATACTACACTACAGCAAATGAAACAGTCTTACTAATATTTAGAATATTTACAGTGAATAAACCGTGGGTAGGCTTGTTCAATACATTGATAGTAAGGCTAGGCCGCAGTTTTATTTCATTATATATATATGTTAATGTAACGTTCCTGTTCATCCTGGTGAAGTTTTAAAGCATACATGATTTATCTCCCTTATATCTCTAGTGAAGAAATTTAATTTTAAACAATATAGTATAGCGGCGAAAAACACATGTATATCTTCGTGTCTAGCATCAATAACGGTGAAGGATAGTGAATTTGTGAGTAAGTAATAGACTCAACAATTTCATATTCAAAGGCAAAGAAACGAGTACAACGTAACAACAACAACAACAACAACAACAACAACAACAACAACAACAACAACAACAACAAAAACGTCAAAAACATGAAAGCACTATTTCAAAGGCCATGAAGAAGTACATGGAGAATACGACCAAATTTCCCGTGCGGTAAATTCTTATTTTTCATCGATGACACCCGCCCTGTAAATTTAAGTAATTTTCAAGAACGGAAAGTAATGCCACGTTCCCAAATGAGAATAGATTTAATTAGAAAACGAATAAAATGATCGTGATCTTTCAATCGTAAGTTTACCTAAAACTTGTGATAAATTACAAAATCCTGCGTACTATGCTTTGCAGATGAGGAAACAGTGAAGGTTTACATTCCTACCGTTGTTATAAAGTAAATATGACATACCTTTAAGATGAGTAATGGCAGAGTGGAAGCCTTGGAATAACCTGTGAGGGATAAAGCAGCTTTATTCAATCCGTTACACTGTACCTAATACTATAGATGTATTGAAAGACAAGCCTTTGAGAGCGTTACATCACTTCAATTGACCTGGTTAAAGACTACTTCCCTTCATAAACGCCTAGCTGTATTGACCTCATGTATATCTTTCCTTAATCCATATTTGACACATGTTAAGATTGAGATAAAGACATAAAATCATTTTTATTTTCTTCCTTTCATTTCCTGTGTAAATACATGAAAAGTACATAGAATCATAACAGACTCTGGTAAGAATGTCTTTTACCATATTGAAAACAGCTAGATCCTACAACGCTCAAAATGTGCTCATTGTAGTAAGTATCTTATAAAAAACATATATCTGTACGTTTCTATCAAAACATTTTGTTTTTTAGAGTTAAAGTATAATTGCTAAAATTATGATGATGTGTTCAAAACTAGTAACTTGTAACTGATTAAAGCATTTTAATTGTAACATTTACTAGTAGTTAAAGTATCAACATAAAATTTAGATGTAATCATAATTATTTTGCATAATCCTCCATACAAATAAATGGTGAGGAGAAAGATAAGTGAAGAATTGGCTGGCTCTGATGGCTTAGAATGGCTGGATGTTCCTGTATCATCGCACTTTATTCATACTACATCAGTCCTCTGTATATACCTGAAGTTAGAAATTAAAAAAAAAAAATAAAAAATAAAAACACGAAGTCAGTTTCTATATGGATAATAATTCAGACAATGTATTTAATGTATACATAATTACACTATTCAAAATAAAAGTTCAAGCAAGTAAGGGTTTCACTACCATTGTAATGCTCTATTCATCTACTTTCCTAACTATAGAAGTTTTCTGATTATAGGGATTGTTTGATACTGACATTAAAAGTATGATATGTAAGGCTCGCAGACTTAAATTTCAAAAAGTTAAAAATAAAGCAAACATACAAAAAACACTTTTACAATTCGTTTTCAACACACGTAACTTCAATTCTATGTTTTCTTTATTGTTATTTATTCTTTTCTTTAAAACACTTGCAAAAAATCTGTTCAGAATGTGTACAGGTACAATTTGTAGTCAAATGAATGTCTTTTGACGATCTGCGGCTGATGTTTAAGATAACATATTACTCATATGGCTCCTCAGAATTTAAGAAAAACACTACACAGGGACCAAATATCAAGGACGGTGTAATCTGAATAAGTCAAGAGCCACTTTTGTCTCAGGATATTTGAACATCTCTAATCCTCTTGTATCTACAAGCCCCACTTCCTTTATTATGTAAAGGTATCATGATATCATCCCTACACTTTCTGATAAAGGCCAGTAGGGAATGATCCTTGTAATTTTGTCCTTTTTATACAATAATTTGTACTTTATGAATTCATAATATGCTTATCTCAATTTGACCCAATTTCTCTTACAGTATTTGATAAATTTGATAAAGATATGTAGATACAATTTATATGTACTTACCATGCAATGCCTTATGTAATTCACACGATGGTGTCACACGTGAACAAGATATCATACCCTGTAACAATCAACGAACCATGTTACCTTCCAATAGCTCTCCCCGTTGATTGTCAACATTCCAAGGTAAATGTGTATAGAATGTATACCGCTAATGTATCCACAATTACGTAATGCATTAACACTGTCTATAAAGCTTATGTATATACAATTACGTAATGCATTAAAACTGAAATAGACGTACAATTTACTGTAGCTATCAATGAATCAAAACTAACGTGCTAAATTTACCAGGACTTGTGTGCAAACTATAATCTGTTTCAAATTATATAACAACCGAAGCAGCAACGTAACAATATGTAAACGGTCGTTTTACCAGTAAAAAAAAAAAAAAAAAGAAATCTAATCACCGACGGCAAAGGCTTTTTATAGTATCTGGGTATTTCCAAAGGGTTCATCTTGCCACAAAATAATAGCATAGGTAAGTAATAAATAGAAACAAAAAGGTATTAATTTTATGCAATCTACAACTACATATACATTAATTTTTACATGTATGAGGCTCATGAGGGGGTGGGGGAGAGGAATAAAATTAGTAGGCTTAATGCTTACAAGTTAACATGTACTCCACAGAATAACTGTTCATTTCATCAATATTTCAAAATGACCTCCTTATTTGAACTATACAAATTTTAAAATACGAAAATATATCTAAATACAATGTTTATATAATGCATACATAGTATATGTGTATTTTTGTATGTGCCATAGTCCTTTTTTCTTATACATTTGTCTACTGTCAAATCTACTGTAGTTTTTTTTAACTGATTATAACTTATGACAAATCAGTTGTCTAAGGATACTTACATTTCTCAACAAAAAAAATAAGTTCTGAATTTTTTTTTTCTGAAATGATATCTTTCTCTCTCTCTTTTTTAGGGCACTCAATATATTCTAAACAATTTATCAATGGTTAGCAATATGTATTGTTTCCACCATGAATGACATTGTTATGACTCTCGTAAAGATTAAACTGCTTACATATGTACACTCATACAAATGACATAACATCGATTCATGTCAGGCAGACCTGCGAGCTGTCTGAAGTTCCGGACACAGGAACCTTGTGATATTGTCAATCCATACGTAAAGTTTAGCTGGGTTTCGCACCTTGTGATATCAGGGATAAGGTGTTTATCGCAATTAAATGGTAGCAATAACTGTTTGCCTAAAGGTAACCTTTGATTTATCAATCCTGGAAATTGAACTACAAATATGTTCAAATGATTCTGAATGACACTAACTAGAAGGAGCGCATGCGCCCGACCTGACGCATGAACCCTAACAACAATATATATCATGACTGTGGCTCGTGCGCTATTTCCTTACTATAGCACTACACTGCACAATTTAATATCGAGCAGATACAACAATCATAACAGATTACGTAAGGATTTACTCACGTAGACTTGTATCCGCTTTTAGATAAACTACAAAACACGCATACAGCCGTCGGTCTTAAACGACTATGCTCCGTTTCATACTATCTTTGTGTCCCACAATGTTTGTATTGCATTGGATATTGTTTCTTATTTGTCTTTCTTGATTGATATTAACATTTTACCAAGAAGAAAATGAGGCGACGATTTGTTATTTTTTTTAGAACTTTCCCCACTATTTCCACCAAACACAAAGCTGCAGACGTCGTCGGTGTAATATGGTCAAATAGCTCTGTACGCAAAAATATGGGAAGACAGATTATCGACTACATGTGCATTTTTTCAGTTATCAGTTCGAGGGTTGAGAGATTATCGGTAAGCAATACTCGTACATGGAGATGTTGATTAACATAATTTGCGGTACAAATACTGGAAACAACATTCCATACTTTTTATGATTTCAAAGATCTACTTACTATTGTACTCATTGAAGTATTAACATATTTAGAACTAATTTTAACACCATACATACACTTTGTTATGTTCAAATCGTTGGAGTTTTTTTTGTTTTTGTAGATGGCTTTTAGTTTAGTTGAGCACATCGCCTGTAACCTGCGGAGGCCCGATAACACTCTTATTGGACGAGTGGTAAAGGTAAGTTTAGCGAAAATAAAAGGCAAGCATAACAAACGTCTATGTTTACTTTAGTGTATGTATTTTGATATATTGTTTAAATCATGTTCGTTTTGAAGTTTTTCTTTTTCTATCTGTCTTATCAATTAAATGTAAATTACGCTGTAACCCATTTTTCTAATCGGTCACGGTTTAGTTTCAGATATATATTTTTTTCTTTTGAATCACTTCATGTATTTTGTATTAAGCATGATAATTTACTATGTCCTGATCAATAAACTTTTATATCGACCTTAACGAAATAGATGTTATGAAAGATACCTATGAGTGAATGGCACACAGTCTGGCGTGATTCCCAGCGTGAATTCATCCGTGTCAAATATAACCGACGTTGTAAGTTTTATAACTGGAATATCAATTTTTTTTCTGTTTTGGGATTTTTATCTCCCAAGCGTTTTTAACGAATCTGAATAAAATCTGTCATTTTGCTTCAACATGAATTTTCAGCTTTTTCCAGAAAATATTTGGTAAGCAACCCCTAATATTTAGAAACAAGGGAATATAAGCTTTTTAAATCTTTTGACAAAAATAATGTTTTATCAATAATGATGTTACCATAGCGACGAGAATTTCGAATATTGGAAAAAAAATAATTGTAATGTTAATCTTAGTTGGCATGGTTACCAGCTTGTTTTTTGTTGTTCAAATTAGAAAATTTTATTTCTATCTGCCCAAATTTCATTATATAAGAACATGTTTGTACAACAAAATAAGTAGTTTAGTCAACCACCAGAAGATATAATTGGAATCTGAAAAATCTTCTTTGTTAAAAATTCAGGGCATATTAGTTAATAATATTAATGCATTTTAAAGTTGTCATGCCAATCGAAATGGGATTTTTTAAAAGCGAAAATTTGTATATTAATGCATTTTAAAGTTGTCATGCCAATCGAAATTGGATTTTTTAAAAGCGAAAATTTGTATATTAATGCATTTTAAAGTTGTCATGCCAATCGAAATTGGATTTTTTAAAAGCGAAAATTTGTATATTAATGCATTTTAAAGTTGTCATGCCAATCGAAATTGGATTTTTTTAAAAAGCGATAATTTCTGTATATAAACAAATTAACTAGTGAAGCATTGAATGAAGTTATTTTATACACATTTTGTAAGTGTAAGTGAAGAAGTGTTCTTAATCTATTGAAAAATATTATTGAATATTTATTTTCAGATGTCAGGGTAGATAAGTCAGTTTTGAAATAATGAATAATAAAATTCAGAAGATTTTATTTAAGTTGTTTCTTCCAGTTTTTACTTATATGTTTGGTAATGATAATAGTTGCACTTATAAATAATGATTTAAACAGTGATCCTATTGTTCATCAGATAGACATAGGTACACTACATCCAGTAGAAATAGAAAATTAATTTTTCATTCTGTTTATTCTGTATGTGTTGTCATGATGTCAAATAAGTTCAAACTTTCATTTTAACGTCTAGACATTTTCACTTGTGGGGTGTCATTTTCTATGTAAATACGAAAAGATATATTAAGATACACGAGTAAAAAATGTTAAACATATTACTCAAAATTAGACACAACAATACTCAAAATGTGCTTATTGTTGTAAGTATTTTGTCTTATTATCTTAGAAATGCATAGATGGGCGTTGAGGGGTTAATATACATACATTTGAAATAAGATCATATATGTAGTATTATTATAGTAGCTTTATTCATTATAAGAGATATGTGTACCGCGATTATCATTTTGTAAATTTCAGATATTTTTGGTAAAGAAATGTGCGATGCTATAAAGAGAAGCGGCACGTTTGTGCAGAAATAGAACCCGACCATAAAGTGTTAGAAGTTGGCTTTGGACCAGGTATTGGGATTGAAGAGGCATGCAAATATGTTAAAGGTACATATTCAGTTTATACATAAAAAATATTCACACATTTTCTCATTGTTAACAGATTTGTTATGAATAATGTAAAATTCTAGAAGTTACCTTACTGGGGCCATCATGTTGTCGACAGCTGGATAATAAATAACGTACCTGCAAATTAGAACACAAATAGCCAATCAGTGTGATTATATGATATATATAGTATGCATGATTCCCGTATAAATAATAATAGCCACAAAGGGTATTAGTTTTAGATCATCTGAAGACTGTGATATATTTTGTGATTATGTGTTTTATCAATCAGTTGATTAACAGGAATAACATTGAATGTTCTATCGAAATTTAATGTGAATTCCCTGCAGGTGTTGTTAAAACTGAAGAAAGAGCTGGGGAGAGGAAGAGGGCGCAATTACGTTAACAATCAAATTACTACCTTTTAACTGCTTATGTGCTTTCAGAATGTTTACACTAAAGCGATTAAGTACAAAGTATTCTTGTTAAATGATAAGCTGTCAAGTTCGTAAATCAGTTTTAAAATGATGTTAGACACTCATGATTAAAACTTATCGGCATTAAGTTTCTCTCCAGATGCTGCCTCTTGCACAGAAAATATCAACAGAAATTGAAGTCGGCTTTTGCAGATAGCTTCCATTTTAGAGCCTGTCGAGATGTAAATCTTCGTATTCATCTCGGTGACATAACTGGTATCTTCTTCTATTTTTAAAAATATCGGATTCTAAGTATTGACTTGAAATACTAAAAAAATATCATCAGGAGGAAAAGGGAAGGTTTACGGAATCGACATCTCACAAGAAATGGTAGCCACTGCGACTAAACGCGCTGAAAAGGAAATAAACGACGGAAAGGTGGAACTGATTAACGGTGATGTAGCAGATTTGTCTCGTTTTGGGTCCAGCACATTTGACTGTGTTTTTCATGGCAACTGCTACTATTTCTGGCCCGATATGGATAAGGCGACACACGAACTCTACCGGGTAATGAAAACAGACGCTGTTATGATATCGACTATGAATTACGAGCGTGCAAAGCGCATGCAGGGTCTAGGGCTTTTGCGATATGGATATCCTGATCAAGGACGTTATATGAAATCGTTGGAATCGTGTGGATTTGGAGGCGTACGTGTAGAAAAAAATGAAAAATAAAGAATCTGGTGCGATCTATGATGTCATCTATGCGAAAAAGACTTTGAAATCTGAAAAATAATTTCTAATGGTATGTTTTGTTACAGTACTGCTGTTTGATATAAGAAAATAAAGCAAAGAATCATAAAAAACCAATATCGACACTAATGTTGCTTATTTATCGATGGACGAATTGCATTAAACAGTCAACATGATGAGGATGGTGAATGGTGACGGATATTGTTTACGTAATAGACAATATGTCTGTACAACAGATTATGTATGATTATAGATGATTCAAATGTATAGTGCAATTATTTCGTCCTTCTTGAACACGTTACCTTATATAGCCAAGTGAAGAAGATCAGAATCAACGAAAAAGTGTTGAGATTTAGACAGACGGTGATTCAACGTTTTACTGTGATATGATATAGGAGAAAACAATTCAATAGGACACTGGTCCACTAAAGGATATGTGCGTTCATTAACTTATCAAAGCCTAGTTTCTTGTACTGTTCCTCTGCATTATCTGTGTATAACAGCACGATTAATCTCCCTTTAGTAGTATAAAACGTCTATATATATTGCAGAAATAAACACCTATAACAACAAACAAAAACAATATATTTCACCTTATACCATTAATAATATTATGTTGACACGATATTATTTATATGAACAGCAAGAAAACACAATACATACATGCTTAGGTAAGTATAAGTTAACCTCAAGATAGATACAAAATCAAATATATACAAAGTAAAGATTCACATTTGGACAAAAAAAAAAAAAAAAAAAATGAGGAAAATGAACATTAGTTGATCAACCGACCACGCCTGATTGCATCAATTCAAATAATGTCGCGTTATCAAAATAAGAGCCATACCTACACATGAACATTATTTATTATTATTCATAATCTTTTCGTTACTCCATTACAATATTTCACTTATACTTCATCGTCTTATTTATGAGAAAATTCAAAACACGGTTAGTAATCGATTTAATACCAATCTCAAAGTAAAAGACAGGGTGAAGTCCAAGAAGAGTCTACGTCAAGGTTAAAAGAAGAGTAGTCATCAACTAGCACATAATGGGTCCCGTTTCACGCTTTTGTTTTCGGTTTACTGATTTGTTTGGTGATACTTTCAATAAAAAAAACAGGACGAAAGAAACATTTGTAAACATACACACAAAAAGAATACGAAAAAGGAGAACAGATATGCCGAAAGAAAGGGTATTCTGTTTCAACATCGACAGCATTTCGAACGATAAGAACGGCAAAACCATCATGCATTCACATCTTGCGAACAAAGTGATGCCTATAGAACCACAGAGATTTTTTTTTAAATCGTCATCTGACGACGTCTGTTACGGAAGTATTGGGAAACCGTTTTGTCGAACACAGTAAAATTTTCATGAAAAAATCAATACGGACGTGATGATCATACTTTTCTTACATGTTGCCAGGAGACTTACCTCAATGTTATTAGAAGATAAATCCTTGTTGATAAAAATTGCTGTAAAGATGCTGACAAAGGAATTGGACTGTTTATATCGATCTCTCATTTTCTGTAACATATATAGTCTAATAATCAAAAATGAAAAGAATATTTAGTGCTAGCAAATTGTATGCAGGTATTAATTTATTAGAGTCGAAGTCTCGTTGAATTCGCTCACTGTCACGTATGTTACAGTGTAAAATACAGAAACTGTTATGGACGTCGCCAAACGTTACATTAATGCAATACATCTGTTTCGAGTATGTTTATTTGTTTGTTTTTCTGTTTGTTTTCTTAATCACCAATACTTCTTGATGAACTTTGATATTCACATCAATTATGACTTCAACGTCATCGACAGCAACGTCGACCACGATGATTATGTTTCGCAATCATAATTAGTCTTGTGTTTAGCTCTGTTGTATTAAGCCATCAATTAAGAAGTGATAATAAAATAAATTGTTTATATCGATCTCTCTCCTTCTATATAGAGACATGTTTCAAATTGTATACAAATGTCCAATAATCCAATAGGCTAAGTATATCTATAACACTTAATTATCCAGTAGTCTTTAGGTGATAGTGATCTCATTGAAAAATGTTCTAGTTCACTGTGGGGAATGAAACTGGGTGTATGTGATGCTCGGAAATTAGCCTGTTGATTCCGTTGTTGTATACCTCATTTGAGAACGTAACATTACTTATTTGGATTCACCAAGATTTAAATGACGGGTATCGTCGATAAAGTAGTTGAAGCTTACTCTTCCGGAACACCTGGTCTTATTATCCTTGTACGTTTTCAGGAGTCTTCATATAAATCTTTCTTTTGTTCTTACTTTTTTTTTCTTTTTGAAATCTGAGTAACGATTATGATTCTATTGACATGTTGGCAATGTCTTTCCATTATCAACGATGAAAACACCATTTTGTTTTACGATACTGATAATACGTTTAGTGTACAATGTATTTACATGTACGTTGCGGATTATTTTGTATTAAATGTGTAAGATAAAACACAACAAAACTCAAATAAAGCGATCATGTCTCTCTTTTATAAACAGAAAGTGTAATAATTATGTAACAATACCGGCAAGTATTCATATAGCTGATAGTTAATATACTTGTATTTGTAGATTGAGCCTATCAGGATTATGTTTTATATAAATACAATAATTATATATAATTCGTTATAATCACGAAACAACTACTCTTCGGGATTTTTTTCCATATTCTAGGAGGAAAAGTTAAAATACATGGAGTTGGTTTCGCTGTGGAAGTGACAGCAACTGACACAAAATGTGTTGAAAATAAAATTAAAGATGGATACGCAGAATTGATAAATGGTAATGTAGCAATTTTGACAGTGTTTTTCAATGCAATAGTTACTATCCTTCACCGGATGTAGATAAATCAACCGGAGAACTTCATCAAGTAAGTGAACACAAATGTCATTAAGGTAGTCATTATGAAAAGTCATCGAATACGATGCATGTAAGGTCTAGACCTCTGGCAGTATTGTTACCTGGATCAACCACATGACATGAACTCATTGGAATGGTGTAGTGTTGTAAGAGTATGATTAGAAACATCAAAACCTCAAAAATACAACACTGCAATATAAAATTTAGTTTCGGAATGAACAGGAATATTTGAGAAAGTATTTCTAAAGTTCGAGAAACCTTACTGTGAAGACAATTAGGATCTCACTTTGTCCATTAACTCGTTTGATGGCGGGACCGGTCGAGGCAGCACTACATTACAAAGGAAACTTTTGGTTTTGGAGAAAGCAAACTCGACACGATAATGCCACCATTTAAACAAAAGAGGTCACGTGAGCCAGGTTTTGATGCTGCCCTGTATAGTGACCCTGCATACAGGACAGCGTCTCATAGCTTGAGAGCATACGTCACAACACACGAGATGCGCGCAAGGGAGAAACGTGATTGAGGCGTCTTCCTCCTCACATATTCTACACATTTTATTTCTTCTCAGTCGGCGGTTTTCTTCCAATAACTGTCGTTTCTTGCACTCTGTAAAAGAATAAACATAAAAGTATTTTTCTAGGTAAAACATGGACATAAATTTGCCTTTGTATTCATGTACTCCGACTTTACACTTTGAGATGTACAAAGTAGGTCAACAAGTATAATGGCCGGTTTTTTTATTCATTGTTTTGTATTTTATTTCTCCAACAATATCTACAGATTATATTATCTCAAAATCGAATTGAAAGGATTATATTGATAGAAATAATAAAATCAGAACATTTAGATTTTCAATTTAGTCTCATTTTGATTGAAAAGGATTTCCGTGGTAAATAAAGAAACTTTCAGTAGACACAAACTACTAAAAATAGTTTAAGAAGAATAAAGACCTGTCATACCTTCAGTTTCTGTCGTGTTTGTGCTCGCAACGCCCCCACTAATCGTGGATCCATGCCCATAGGAATCTGTGCTTCTTTTGTCGGTGATCAGTTTTAGAAGAACATCTGTACTGTGAATACCTGCGATTTCTACATACACAAAAAAGTGCACACTATTAATGGTATATATGTATCTACTGAACAATTTGGTATAAACACTCGCACTTGTCTACACTTGTATTTTAAGTAAAGTCTCCCACCGCAGTTCTTATCACATATCAGTAGAGAATTAGATAATTGGCAGATAGCATGTACCGTTTAAAAGAAATGTGTACCTTTTGCCGATAGCTGCTTAACGACTTGTTTGACACGTTCTGGGGAGTATCCTAGCTGTACAACACTCTGGACAACTGGCAGCTCCTCAATATCCTTCTCAAACAAGGCTACTTTTTCCAAGCTGAATTTGGTGTTGTCTTGTACCTTTGAGGGCATAAGCATAAATAAGATACTGTTGAATATTTTATTTTATGATAAATTGTGGGTTCGATTGAAGCTTAAACATAAAGTTTTTGTTCTGGGAAAACAAGTCACATTTACACAGCTCATTGATTTATATAAAAATAGTAAGGTTGATTCGTAAATCAGCCATCGGTATAACTAAAGGCAAACAGAAACGAACTGTTAGAAGCCAGATCAGGTTGTATTGAGTGTCATAAAATTCTGTCATTAATTATTTTGCATAAATAAACATGTATTGCAGTTACATGAATCCGTACCTTTTCTTCGGTATCGAGTGTTTCTTGTACCAGCTGTATGAAAACGACTCCCTTGTTTTGTCGTAAGTAAACGCATTTTGGAAACCATCGCGCATGCTCAATCCATGGATCATCCCCATCCTCCCAGTTTTTAAGTCCTCCTCCACAGAAAAAACACCTGGTATAATCTGTGTATCCTGCGTACACAAAACCTGCCTCAGCCATCAGTTTTGGTGTCTGTGAACCTGACCAACCACTGAAGGAACTTATCCTCACAGTCAATACTGCATATACTGGGTACTTCGGTTTTTCGAAGTTAACACCGAGTGGAGATAACCTCTGGACTACTGAAGCACCAACGGGGCAAGAATCAGCGCTGACAGTGCATGTTGGATTTGCTGTATCTTGAATGGGGTGATTTGAGAGCGGATTAATGTATGTGCTCGGTTGGGAAGTTTCGTTTGTATTATGTGCAACGTTGCTTTCGTTTTCAGACCGTCTTTGTTCAGGAAAAGATCCATTTCCATTCTGAACAGGTATAATGAAGTTTGAATTGCTTTCGGATCGTTTACATGACCTCCTGTATATCGAATGACCGTTAGTTGCTGAAGATGAAACAGTGGAAACCATTGAGTGATGTATTTGTTCAGTAGAGGATTCTGACACGGAGATACCATGAGAGATTGACTTTTGTTGAGCGATCATCCCATTTGGGATTTGTTTGACTGAAGAATGAACTGTGTTCGTCGCCATATTTTGGGCTTGCATTTTGGGCTGGTGCTGGGTTTCCATTCTTTCTAGAAACCTGTCACCTACGAACCTTTTTGTCTTATAGCCATGACAACATGTATTTAGTCCATTTTCCTTCACAGGACGAGTTTCTTGTTTTGTCTTTTGAGTTTCCTGGTGACCTGAAGAAGAGCCTGTTCCTGTTTCTCGAGGTACGGCAACATTTGTATTGTCTGTATCATTCGCATGTTTGCAGAAAGGTGAGATTTGTCTGTGAATTTCATCAAGATTGTCTCCAATCTTCCAACCAGATCGTCGGGCACCACAAGAAAAGCACCGTACCTCATCAGAGGCACCTGTATGAAAAAATCCAGCCCTCGCCAATTGTATTGGTCGAACATTTATTTTGCGAACAGATGCAAATGACTGCAACCGCAACCATTCAATATTCATGGGTAGCGATTCGTCCCCGTTCTCTGCATTTTCAAAGTAAAGTGTTAGACTGGCTGGGAAGACATCCATGATTATCTTATTTGTCGCAACCAGGAAATATTATCCAGTCAGTGTGATTTACATAATAAATATTTCTTTAGTTCGTTAAAAGATTCCATATAATTAGGCAAAGGAAGTTTTGATTACTAGAAGTTAATTTGTGGTCATTTTTCAGATGACAAGTTAATACAGAGAAATGCAGAGAGAAGCACTTTTAAGAAATGCAAGCGATGTTTATGCCCTATGATTCAAAGGCAACGCGCATTGAACAAATATTTTACTTTCGATAAGATATCAATCTTTGATACCTTTTGACACATTTTGTCCTTAACGGATCTCCATTCAGATCCTTCAGCTCTGAGTTTGTTGATCCGTTGTCAAATAATTTCCTTATACAAACGTTTGATGTCGTTGACATATTTTGACCTGTAGAGAAAAAAGGTAAAAATTGATAATTCACTTACTTAGATAGGTCTGTTTCTCAAACGAAAATAAATCATGCCTCCAGATCTTATATTATGTTATTATTTTTTATTCTTCTTTTCTATTATTCTTGTTCCTTTTATGTTATCTTAAAATGATTATTCGATAATTTTCTCATTTCCAACAAGAAACCACGGGCCTTAACGATCAGCTGGGTTCTATAAAAGCTTACATTGTTCTTAAAACTAATGTCATAAAACCATCCGGTTAACAGAGTAAGATGACTTCAACTAAATTGTATACTAGGACAAATGTAAACTATGCATGACATCAGTTGCGGTCTGCGGAGAAAATGTAAGACCCTGAAGTTGTCAAAATCATAATAGACTTGAGACTTAGAGAAAACGGGGAACTGTGCGACCCATGGGTCATGAAATTCACAATTTTGGTAATGCATTCTAAGACGCGTCGATATACAAAGAGTATTTACTTCTACTATTGAATTGAAGACGTTTGAATTCAGAATCAGTTTATCTTATCAAAATAACCATTACAAAACAACGAGACTCCGAATCGAATTTAACGTGTTATGACATTGTAACTAACTAATGGATGTATAAAAGATTACCTATTCGATATGTTTTCGTTATAATCTGGTTGCAATTTTGTCACACTATTTTCCAACCTGGTGTTCATACTGTTATTGTACAGCCGAAAAGTCCTGTCTAATCCATTATCATTTCGTACACTGTATATCTCGATTCAATAACACTTCACACGTGTCATTTGTCCGGTTGAGATCACAAAATATCACACATATGGACCATGCTGTGAAAATGTTTCACCAGAACCCTGAGTTTATATCTATCTTGTTATTCAATCACCAACAAGAAATAATGGGCACTGGTGAGAAGCTCAAACAAAAGAAAGTCACTCAAAAATATTCACAGAAAATACCTCAGACGTAATATTATCCTACATAGCGTGCGCCTGCCAAGCTGAACACATTCAAATGAAAGGAACTAAAAATGCAAAATGCTATTTCAATACATTTGGCTACTATAACCAAACACAGACCAATGACAATGCATGTTATCATACAATGGAAAGTAATCAGTGATCATCATACAATGGAAAGTAATCAGTTATTCTATTATTTTAATAATAGAATTAAATTAATAACAGACGTTATCAATATATATATATATATATATATATATATATATATATATATATATATAGTTTTCAGTGGATTCATTATTCATAAAAAACATGTCTTTTCGTTGTGTAGAGTTACACACTCTCATGAGAAAGTATTGCGTGTTGTACGTCATTACTTTGCGTCGCATCAGATAATTACGTCATTGAGCAGACAACACTTTATCACGAATGCAAAGGTAGTGACTTTGGAGGGGTACAAACAAAACAAAGTGAGTTCTAGTCTTGAATACATGCTGTGCGAACTTGTATATACACAGGCGAGTCAGGCAATTTCATAGATGCAATTTTTTAAATGCCAAAACTTGAAATGAATAAAAAAAATTGGTTTAATCGTTTGTATTAAAAACGTCTTGTTGAAATATTTATGTAGATAGAATGAATGAAGCATTAAACAGATGACATTAAGATTCCCATACATGTATCAGATATGTTGCCTAACCCTTAGGTCACATAGATACCCTTAGGTCACGTAAGATGAAACGCCGGAAGTGATGAACTCCATATCCACTATTGTTTCATATCAGTCCAAATCAGTATTCATAACTGGGAGATTTATTACAATGTTACTATATATATATATATCCATCATTTAAGTAATTGCTTTACATATATGCAAATTTAATGTAAGAAAAAAATGTGATTCAATATAACACATACATCACATATATTAAGAATTTAATGGATATACATGTATATGTATATACTGTAGAGACAAGAAATGTAATTATAATATTCTTTAAATACTACATTCGTGATGGTACTGATAATGACTGACATGCAATCATCGGCACCAGCATATGTAACATACAGGTCAAGTTTACGTCAGTATAGGTAATTTATTAATTACGATAAATTGCTGCTTATTATACCACAGATGTTTACCTACCTATTACTAGAATGCTTTTCCGAAACTTCGAGATACTGAAACAGCTAACAGAGAAGCTTCCTCGCCGATTTGCGTTAAACATTTGTGTTCTTCTATATTGTTTCGTTTAACGTTGGTGAATCAATGCCCCCAAAATAATCATGATAACATTTAGGCCCTTGTGAATTCCCTGAATCCTCCTTTTCGTTTTGTTTTGTACACTTACCCTTAAAAAGTCAAATTATGGGAACAAGAACTCTTTATCATAACTTATTTGATAAAATGGTTCAATTTACATAATTCAATAACGAGCAAAGTAATTTTACACTAACAAAAGTGGTCAATATTGAACAAATTAGGTCTAGTTAACAAATACCTATTATATCTACAAATCAATATTTCTGACATCCTGACTTTATATACTGACTTAATCGAGTTTACACGGGATCATAACAAGCATAAACATGAATCAGCAGAACAATCAATTTAGTGTTTTGGTCTAAATCCGATTTGATTACCTATGTATTAGAACTAAAGATGCATCGTTTATTTAAAAGCAAACCAATTACTTATGAAACAAATAAATCTAAATCCCGCCTGTTATATTCATATTTACATAAACTTGAATCTATTATAGACCTGTGCTCTTGAAAGCACCATGATGCACTAGTTTAGCGTGATTTGACCTCGCTTAGTCTATGAATATCGGCCATGTCAATGATATTATTGACCTTGTAAAGTATGTGCTATAAATAGACACACATGGAAAAACCCCGATGGAAATACTCTCGTCATAGTTGATTAAGTCTTTGCTGTCACAATGATTTGTGCTATAAAGTACACGTGAAAAATGAATATTTATATGTGTATTACTTACAGGATAACTCGAGAATACATTTCATACGGTAAGTTATGTAACTGAAATATTACATCACGAATACCTACACCATTCGTGTTAGTTACTAGCACTAGAGGTAGCCAACACAGTTATAAAAATAGATGATTATTCAAGGGATTTGATAGATTAACATGCTACTATTGAATCTCTTATTTGTTTATACAAGATTTCTTTCTCTATAATAACTCATTATTTTTGACAAGCAGAATTGATCAACACACTGGTTTTCATACGCACTTTATACAAATCACCGATCACCTACCACGTGTGCATTAAGATAAGATCACAAGAACAACACATCTGTAGATCACACCTGCACGTACTAACCATCAAGGTAATGATGTACACTGAAATACTAAAACACACGTATGTTGTAATGATAAATAGAGCAATGTGTAATAGATATATCTAAGTATGGCTCATGACCTTTGCTTTGATCTGTGATATCTAATTCACACTATGAATAAAATGTTTGCTGTTCAACTGATATGTATCATTCTTAAACATTTTAGACTAGTGTTGGACACCTATTCATACATACTCTTATTTTCTTAAAGAGTACACATAGACCTGAATGTTTGATATTATTTAAAATTAAAAACTTTGTATTAATATCAGATCATTCTTGGATATTTTGTATTACGTTTAATGGACATGAATAAATACATGTCTTAATATTGTGTGTAGATGAGTTGTGCCATTAACACTAAACATAGTAACCTTGTAGCAAAAAAATAGAGCAACGACGTTATCGACACTGCTCATAAGTATCTACCAAAATCTGAGCAATATTAACCAGTTTGATACCTTGACATCATGAGAATGGCAAGACAATCACTGTTTACATTCCAATGTATCACAAAAAAATCAAATGTAAACTCTGTTGGTAGGTATATGTTCCAATATTTCCAGCCAGTTGACAAAGATAACATCATCGGCAAACAGAGGTATGTTGTTAGCGTCATGGATAAAATTACACCAGGTATGGGACACAGATGTAACAAAAGCTTTGTGTGCTATATGAAGGATTTCAGCATGCTTATAAACGATAAAGAAAGTTTTTTGTCAAAGAGTAAGAGAACGTTCAGAGGCCCTATGTATTACATACCAAATGTAAATAGCAATATTGGTCATTTTGTAGACTTCGATAGTAAAGTGAATCACTTCCAAAAATGATTCACATGTAATACACACCATTCAGCTATTAGTTGTTCAACCTCATGACCCACTCATGGTTTCCTTTTACAGTCCTGTGAATCATGATAAGTGGTGCAGGTAAATTGACTGTGTGATAAATACTGTTGAAACGTTTTGTTCACGTTATCCTAAAGGGTGTTCGGCTTCCACTTCCTTTGTGTTTTTGCTTCGTTGAATTATTCAATTTAGAATAAAAGAAACCTTATATTGGACTAAATTGGTTGTATGATTAACCCCTATAGGTAAAACGGGCTATTTTCTACACAGAATATTCAAAGAATTGTCTTATTATCAGTAAAACAACCGAAGTCATTTGATTTTTGAACCGTGTACAGAACAACATCTTATAGGTTATATAGTTTTTTTCCTATCAAATAAAAAAATTAAATGTTTTATTTTTACGGTATTCAGATTAAATTGATTTCGACCAGGGCAAAAAAGGAAATATATTCTAACTTTATGCAGCAAAACATGACATCATTATTAGTATTATTAGTTTTTGTTTACAGGTATTACATCATCAGGAACCAGGTGATAGTTTTTACCGTTTTTATCTTTCCTGCCAAAGATACGTTACATCATTAGTCTCCTCTTCCATAAAAGTTGGTTCAGTCAAAAATGTACTCCACGAGCGAAACTTCGTCAAAGCGTCAAATAGATTGCTTTAGATGACAAAATATATAAAAACACAAACGTCGTTTTATATTGAATTGTGTCTTATTCCCTGTCAAAACATCAGACAAGTACATTTTTAATGATAACCTATACTCTGTATATTGATCATACACTACCAACCAATCCATTACATGTGTTTTTTGTAAAAAAAAAAAAAAAAAAAAAAAAAAAAAAAACAAACAATATTTCACTTGTTATTCACGACATTTAAATATTTTTACTGTTCCTCCGCTCTTTCTTTCTTTGTTTTCTCATGCATGAATATCCCCTGTTTTTCATTTTGTCTTTCTTTCTTATTTTTTCTAAACTTTTGCCGTTTAAAAGGAAGGTATTTTCAAATATAACGGACGGATATTTAAAAATTACGAAAATAGGAAGTTGTAGGCATATGGGGATTTAAGTCAGGGATTTTCGGTAAATAAAACAAAACTCCATTTGTCGTGTCAATGTCAATGTTAACAATTATAATACCGATAATCTATATTTAGGACCTATCAATATCCGGAAATTCCGTAAATTGTTCATTGTCCCTGTGTAAACAAACACTTATGGTGAGGTTTTCAGATTCTATTTTTAGCATCTATACACATTAGTGACGACCACCTTGTGTAGCACATCAGGTTAGTTCTTTCGTTTTATTTCCTGTATTTCTGTTTCACTGAATTTCTTCTATCGTTGAAATTTTGTATTCCTTGTTTGCTTCAAGCCTAAGGTACACATAGAATATTATTCTATACATATAACAACATTCGTTTGCAATATATTCCTTGTTTGCTTCAAGCCTAAGGTACACATAGAATATTATTCTATACATATAACAACATTCGTTTGCAATATATTCCTTGTTTGCTTCAAGCCTAAGGTACACATAGAATATTATTCTATACATATAACAACATTCGTTTGCAATATTGCATTGCAGTTTTAAAACAAGGAGAGATAATATAGTGTAGCTATGTTAAATTATGAAACATATCTAACGATGATAATATACTACTTATTATTTTTTTTGGAATTTTTAAGATTATTTAGCTATTACTTACGAGGCAGATATGCTAAGAAATATGCGCAGTTTACTTGATTTTGGAATTTCAGGAAAGATATATACTAATATTTTATCACGTGTAATATTTGATATGTGCGTGTATTGAAAATGCATATTAGTTAATACTTCAAATAAGAAATTTCATTCGCACACGTTATATCCAGTGATGAAATGTACTGTTTTTAACACTCACAGGGACGTTGGTCAGGTTTGGTTGCTTGACACACATAAAAGCAATATGTGACTTTATAATTCAGTGTTAACTTCATATACTACTTACACTATCAAAATAGCGCACGCACAGAAATGGAAACGTTATTTTAAAAAAGTTATAATTATGAATAACAAAAATCTATGTATATCACTCTATTAAGTAGACAGATTAGCTATACAATAATCAATAAGCAACTTGCTACATTTTCTGTGAAACATAACTCAGGAATATCATTATAACGTAATTAACATGCCCACACATACTTGTAGAAGGTTTGAGAAGGCACTGGCGTTTATGCGGATGAGTATCTCTTTTATGATAAGCATTTATTAAAACAAAGACATTGTGTAAGGTGTGAAGTGTCAGGGCGGTATCAATATCTATTATTTTTTCTCATTATTCCATTATTTCCAGAAATAATTCGGGACTTTGATGATGGAGCTGGAAGTGAAAAAAATAGTGTTTAATCGAAGAGGAGAGTTCATTCTGGTCTCCCACCTTTTAATCTCATATCTCATTATCACCAATATTGTTTCCCGTAGCCATCAATTCGGTCAACCTTTGTTAAACCTAATGCTAAAATTAAGTAACTCATAGTACAGAATTCTCTTCGTAATCTGCCTCACAGTTTCCATTTTGGTTTCGCGAAGTCACCAATTAAGTATATATATATATAATTTATTTCATGAAATAAATACATTTGTGTTAGATGGTTACTTTATATATTCCTGTATATATATATGTATAATTGTCAAAATCCTGCAGATGTTTTTCACATTATAAGGTTATGTAAGTTGGCTCTTAAGATTTTGAACTCTGACCACCTGGTGACCATCTGTTACCCTATGTTGTTTGTATCTCTTGTTATTTGGATGTTATGTGTGCACGTGTTAGCGAGGGCCATGTAGGGCAACTCGCCATGCGGTCACAGTTTTAGCTTGACCAGTCAGCAGGGGCTGTTCATGTGACCAGCGGCAGTAGTCGTAATGCTATGCGGTCAGGACCTGGATTGACCAATCAGCGAGGCGCGCACCTCCTCATGATTTTGACCGCGTCATATTTTCATCACTCATCATAATTTTTTCTGCTGCTGTGATTACGTTTAATATCTTTCGAAGTCCCACCCTCATCACACTCCCACATTTTGTCTTGAGCCCGCTTATATATCAATGTTTTTTGGTATTTTTTGTGTGTGTTATTCAAACTTATGTTTGTATGCCGATAATTTGTACCCCACCTTTTTTGTTGTACATATAGACTGAAGTTAATGTCATTCAGATCTATATATTATAACAGTGATTGATGTTATGGTTGTATTTGAAATGTTCTTGTCATTTAATAAATAACCATTTGACAACATTTCTTTTCTCTGTTGTTTTTTGTTTATAAGATATGTACAACAAATAACAAGCTGCAGTCTCTGAGCTGGGTTACCATGCTTACACAAATTTTATTCTTTTAATAAGTGTTTAACTTCAATGTAATTATTGCAAACCATAATTACCGATTATATCATTAAAATATCACATACATGTGCTTGATACATGATTATTTCTGGGAATTGGTTGTCCGTTTGTGGTACTTTCGAGGAGTGTGTTTTCACTTTCACAAATTGGTACCCGTCTTCTGAAAAGAATAAAAAAATGATACATGCAAAATTACTCAAATTATCCATACCCTTCATTTCATGTGTACTAAGACGGGTTATTTTACATACATTTGTCTAAATTAAATGCCATGAATCATCGTGAACAGTCAAAATAATAAAGTAATAAACAAACTTTATGTTTGTTCAATATACAGGTATACTATGGTATATAATGGAGTCATTTTGCTGTTTTCAAAACCAAGTTCGTTTCATCGTTCAACGCGTGCGTCTATTTTCGAACACTATCGATGTTCGGTTACGTAGCATTCACATATTTCCCGTTATGTAACGTTGTGCATTAAATCAGTTGTGATTATCACTAAAAAGTATATGATATTTTAATTTATAGAGGATAATCATTTTGGGGGGAATTTTCATGTTTCTGTTGTATTGAGATCTTCATCGTTATGCCCTAAAGAATTATTTATTTCCTAAACTTCTAAGAAGTCTGTTTTATCATACTGATATCACATAGTGATTAGAACTTTTATCGTTTGAAATTGCTTCTGTGCATTATGATAATTTGAACTTGTTGACAATATTAGTCATTGCTAATGTATCTAATAGTACTGATGACTTTGTAAGAAAAGCGCTTCATCGCTAATGTCGACTGTTTACATTATATACGACGTGAAATAAAAAAAATCCTTGTTTTTTGTTTACTATAATACGTGTTATCGTGTTTTCATTAACACATTGGTTTAGATAAAGTAGACAATTTAACATGCCTCACATCTGGTGTTAAGTATTTCGCGATTTTGTACAAAAAGCTAAAATTGTTCATACTGTGCGCATATTCATATGTAACTCTATGTCTTCCTGTTCTCGATATATGAAACAAAATATTTCAACCATTCTTCACTAATGAACACTTAAAAGGGTAACTTACTTTCCGAACATAATGCCGTCTTTGATTGTTTCTGGCAATTCCATGTTCAAAGTTTCCGGTAAATGTAAGGATGACAATCCAGCTAAGATAGACATCACTCCAAATACCGCCAAAGGAAACACTTTCCCTACCATGCCACCTATAAACATTGCCTGTAAAATACAAAAAAAATTGTTATAAGGTTTTGCAAAATTGTAATCAGCATGCCATGCTTAAATTCATTCGAACGCAGATCAGAATAAACACATCTATTCGACGCTGTTCTAAAATCACCAGATGTATGAGAATTACGACATGTAATTAATTATTGGGCTTTTGTATCTTCCCGTCTTGATTTTAACTTTTATTTCGATCACTTTAGATTAAACGATGTCGCCTTCTAGGCTTCAAACGTTAGACCATTAACATCACTGACAAGTCCTAGTTGTTTGGCTAACTCTGATTTTTTATGTCTTTTGCACAGTCTTGGCTGAGAGGTGACCCTATGTCCTTTGCATTTCTGCTACCTAATTGCCTATGTATACAATTCGAATACCTCTTAAGATAGGACAAAGCCAACCTTTTATCTTCGGCATCAAAATTCATTTCAGGTGTAATATGTCTTTTCCAGCAGTGTTAAAATAAATTTCTGCGTGTGGTGTTTCACAATTTAAAGAGTATTCATATCTTTTTATCTCACCATCGTCGATGAAGCAGATTACGATGCTTACTCTTCCGGAACGCAAGATGTAATTCTTGCACTTTTTTGGGCGTCTCCATATAAATCTTTCTTTTATTGAATATGAGTTATGATCACGATGATGTTGCCATGTTGATATTTTTGTTGTTTCGTGTAAAGTTGATATTTCCCTCCCTACTGCATAACTATAATGAAAGGGATTTTTACAAATTGTCGTGCGAAACATTGATAGATAATTGCATTATGAGTTGTCTCTTATCAAATAATATGCGATTTTGTTTTACTGGAAACATTAATGAACTCTCACCGAGTCAGCTATATAAGGCGCCAGAATTCCTCCTATTCTAGAAGAACAACAACTTGCACCCATCCCAGCATTCCTGACCACGGTAGGAAATAACTCAGCGGAAAAAAGATAAAGTGTATTGAAAGCCATCGACACACCGAATTTGCCAATCATGGCAAGTACGACTATTATGATCTGGTTCTCTGAAATGAAATAAACTATCTAAAGATTGCTAAAGGCAAACGTGAATAGCACTTTCCAATACAAATTTATAACTATATATAGTTGAACCAAATTAATTAAAACAATTTATAGAATCATAAAATAGGAATATAAATAGACACCATTGCAACATATACAACTCGTGATTCGTGATTAAAATAACTTGATATAAAGTGATAAATTAAATTTATTTCGAGATCTTCTTCATATGGTCATCTTTCTTAGCAATAATAAATTCGTTTTACAAATTATACCCGTTCAGATCCATCTGGAGGCTTGTAAATGATAACTGATGTTACAACCTACCTATTTCACCATACATAATAGGGATTATTGTCGATGCACATGCACATCCTCCTAATACCATACTGAGACAGTAAAGTGTCTTCCGGCCAATGCGATCAACCAAAAGTATGATCAGGGTATCACCTGGAAATTCTACCAGCCCAGATAAGAACATATTTAGGAAGAAATTTCCGCCGAGGTTTCCAGCATTGAGATACAACCCGTAGTAAGTCATGCTTACTATACACCTGAGTACAGAAGAAATATATTTATTCAAACAATTTTCACAATAAAAATATCTCCAATGAGTCCTAAAATGTATTCAATGGTTGTAAACTCGATAACGTTGATGTCATTACTATCTCACATGGAGTCAGTGTGTAACTATATATAGTAAAAATGAATAACCTATATTTGGTTAGTATAGCAATTGTGTTTCAATAATATTTCTATGTAAATTGATGGCACACGTATGTATCCAAAATCAGATAACACTAGTTTTATTTACAGCGAGGGAGGGAATCTGATCATTTCGTAACATACATTTCACAATTAGGGAGGTCGATAATCATACTTATGCCCAACAACAACAACAACAACAGCAGCAAAAACAACAACAGTTTGGGTTTTACAAAGGGACAAAGAAAAAGAGTAAAAATTTCAAAAGTTTGATATGAGGATATAACATGCTATGAAGCCAAAATCGTGTAGTATGTTACGATAGGCTGTTGTCTATAAGAAACACGTAAATATTGCTTAACAGTTTTGATTAACATACAACAATTTGTAAATAAAAAGATATTTTGTGTGTCACGTTTCAAATTTCAACGTATTTAGTGAATTAATTAAGTCTGACAACTGTATGTTTAGAGTTCATTTAGTGGATTCAGGTTCTAGCGAATTCTATATCTAACAGTTTCTAGCACATTCCTCAGAACATTTCTCAAACTATATTAAAGCGACATCACGGTGAAACAATAACGATTTACTGATCTTTTTCATTATCACCTTATGAACAATAACAATTTGTTTTCGCTGGAACATGCGCATTAAGGGCATAAACAATAATTATAAAAGATAAATCCGTCGCCCGCCCTACTCGTCGTGGAATGTTAGTTATTCATGTCACTTATTTCGTAATAGTGCTGAATAGCTTAGATTTATCAAATAACATTTGTCATACCCATAAGAAAATGCGGTGTTGAAAACGGGATTTTAATTACTGCATCTCTACTGCCGTTGTCATAACTGCGCGCCATCATGTGTTCGTATTTACAAAATAAACTGCCTCGTTTTAAAAACTATTACGTTATCATTGTTGAAATTGAGGAAGGTTTCCCAAACCAAAGAAGTGTTGAAGCTGGCCATTGAAAATCGACTGTGAATATCGGGATATCATAAAAACGTAAATGGAAAAGTATAAAACACGTTCAATCAATCACATAATTAATGTTTATACCGTGATGTCCCTTTATATTTTTTCACTTGCCAATTGAAGAGGATGATGATTGTACGCAGAAACATGACCCTTGAAGAGAAAAGTTGCCATATCCTTCCGGCTGGTTCAGTCTCCATGATATTATCGAACATGTCCCGTTTTATTGCAACTTTGTTGATCTTAGCTATCTTCTGCAGAATAACGTTGGCTTCTTCATACCGCTGTTTAGTAATCAACCAACGAGGGGACTCGGGAATAAGCCTATTTATAAAAACATATTAAGTGAACAGTAAACATTGTTAAACATAAAGCAACAACTCTTGATGGATGCGGTTTTAAACAATTGTTTCACTTGTTACTATGTAATTCTTCATTTAAACAAACACAAAATGCTATATGAAGATGGCTATTCTTCATATACATACCACCAGTAAAACAGGAAGATTGCAGCAGGCGCCGAACAAATAATATTGATGTAAAACCAATGTCTGGCTAAGTAGCTCACACAAGCTAGGGCCACTAACCCAATGGCGAAAGAATACTGCATAATCATACCAGCTAATTTCCTTTTTGATGGACCAACTACTTCCACACCTGCAAACGTAAAAAAAACATGTTTACCGCAAATATATCCAATATTCCTGAAATAATTTGGTGTAAAAATATATGTTTACAGTCATAAAGAAAAGGACATTGTCAAATTGATAAGCTCTTGTTTTAAAAAAAAATAAGTCGACAGAAAACAGAAAACGAGGGACACAAACCATTTATAAAGTGTATAATATATGCTTTACCGAGAACAAACCCCACAATAAAGACACCCTGTGTAGTAGCACCAATCCCCACAGTTAGGACCGCGTATATGATGTGTGAGGAAGACCACGAAGAACCGAATGCAATGCCGAAAAACATCAACAACGAGATGTAAAATGTCTTTTTCCGTCCAATTCTGAAAAATAAGGAACTTTCATAAGGAAATGATATAGTATTCTAATGAAATGTTCTTGAGACGTCAATGCAAATGAAATGAAATGGAATTGACTTAGATCCATTAACACAAGGTGAAAAAGACAACCACTTACGAATCTGAGAGAGTACCAAACACGAAAGCTCCTAGGAATTTGCCGACGAAGAAGAGAGACTTGATTAACGAAGTTATGTGGGCATTTTCACACACGATATTATACTGCAATATAAAATAAACCTAGTTGTACGTGGATATGTGACGTCCACGGGCATTGTTGTGATGTATACACACAAATGTCCCATATACTGAAATTAACACTTATCTATATGTATGATATAAATTATTTATCTATCTGCAAGTAACTGATGAAGAATCGGTCTTTAGGTCAACGTCAATTTTAACCATCAGTAATACATAGGTGTTTGAAGACATGGAGAATATGCTATTGCAGATGTAATTTAGAAATTGGATTAAAACATTATATTCTATATGGAAGCTGATATATATTATATTGAAAACAACAATTACATTCAAGGAGATACTACCTTTGACGTGAACGTTTCTACAAATATGGATTCGCTGTATACCCATTCATTGCATTTAACTAGTGAAGCATTGATCGGTCTGCTGGAGTTGTCGAACTTGACATTGTTGTAATCAAACGAGTACAGATGGCACTGATCATAGTCATGGGAGGCATCATCCGATGGGGGTATGTAGTTGTTGACGAGATTCTGTTGATAGGCACTGTGTATATCGTACGTGTCATTCCCAAGACCAGGAATTTTACACCTGTTAAATCACATATATTTCAACAACATAGGAAATATATATTGATACTGAAAAATAAAAAACGAATTTGCAATCGTGCCTTTTCTTGATAGACTTTTAATATAATTGATGTGGGAACTATATGGAACGATGCAAAGCGATCAATCCAGCGGGTGTATTCAAATACTTGTAATAACGTGATGTCACCATTACCTACAGTAATAAAATGGTGACAATTTTCATAACTGACAAAGATGATCAATGATAGAACTTTCGTATAACTTGCTATTATATATAATTCTATCAGGAACCTATATCGAATAAATTTGACAACTTTCCCAGTAGATTTCCTCCTCTCCTCTCTCGTTTAAGTGTATTTTTCCATGATAACCAGCCACCATGGCTTGGGGAAAAACTGTTCTATTTAGTATATTTGATCCAATACTATATTAAAATACCACATTTTATGTTTTGTACCTACAATCTTTTCCATTCAATAAAAGATATCATAACGAAGCTAAAATGAATGCGATACAGTTCACTAAGTTCGTACAGCCTTGTAGAAAAATAGGGCATTCATTATCGATGCGAGATGTATATGGACTGCTATAACAACATACCTGTGCTGTGGAGTATTCAGAAATATCACTGACATCACGCCATACAATCCAACAGACACGGAACTAACGCATGTTAATGTCAAAACAAGCTTTTGGTACTTGCCGAATTCTCCAAGCTTTATCAAAATATTGTCTAGACTCATTTTGAGGTGATCTGTGCAACGCCTTGCTGTTTTCAGTATCAGTAGGATAACTCCGTTAGCCTCGTCTGGAAACAGCAGGTCATAAGAAATATTGTACTGGTGAGACGCTTGAGAGAACATAGTGGTGGAGATCTAATCGGCTGAAGCACGGTTGCCGAAAACCACATTAACTATAATTTTGTTTGATAAATCATGTAAAAGCGTTTTCATCTTAGTTGATTTAACAGATTGTTTACTTAGATGTATTTGATAAGCATCCGATGATAACTTCTTTATAATGTATAATAGTTCTAAATTGAACAGCAGAGAGACATCTAGATACTTAATACACATTATGGAGTGTAAGTTGTGTCTTCTTATTCTCATAACATATTGATTAAATAAAACTGATCAATTTAAAACCTGAAAGCTTCGATTTAAAAATCCCGCAATTCTGTTGAAGACATACTCAGCACCATGATCTGAATCAATCCTGTATACTGTTTTGAAAACAGGGTCTACTCAATGTACTCAATGCACTAAGCTATTTATGTTTACGTACATAATATCTGTCCTGTGCTCGTGTCATAACTAGTATGAAGTTTGTATGAAGAGTGTATGTTGCACGGGTATTTACGTACTCACGCCACCCTGCACACATACCAAAGCCCTGTTCACGTCCACTACCAGTCACTTTCCATCTGACTGCTGGACGATCATGATCAAGACTCTTAGAGACAGCTGTGCCACGTACCTCATGGGTCTCTGGTAAGTCTTAGGAAATAATCAAATATTTCAAACCAATTTATATTGTCGCGACAGTTAAATGTATATCATGTGTCCCTACAACGAAAGTAAAAGTAAGTTCCTTAGTTTCGTATTTATTATGTTGTAGGTTTTCTTAATTATTGATTAAATGGAAGTACCAAACTTTTGAGTCGTCTCATCACTAAAGAGCTGAAGGGTTACAATGGCGCCCAACGTAAATTTCCATTGTAATTAGGAACCAGAGACTGTAATGGATGGTATGGGAAGTAGCCTCGTAAGATGGCCATATGTGCGACCTGCGACACACGTACGCGTGTACGCTAACGTTGCAATATTGGTGTACAAGATGTACCTAGAATAGGATGTCAAGCGCTGTGTGCCTATACGGATTGTGGTAAAAACCAAAATTAGATGCCTGCTTGTGAGCCGAATTTTAAAATTCTTGGTTACTGGTAATAATTAACATTTGTACCGGCCAGGCCATGGGATGTCAATGTGTACATGTACCTGTGTGTGTTTGTGCTTTGACTAAACTGCTAACTTCGAGTAGATTCGACGTCGGAAGGCTGTTTAATTCGTCATTGTTGTGAAAAACATTCATCTTTAAAGTTTCTTTGAGACTAAAGGACTAGATATTGTCAAATTTGTTGAAATGTGCTTCTAATAATTTTAAAGGACTCTATATAATGAATTTCTATATGTATATGTAATCAGTCTGGTAATTGTAGTCAAATAATCATTCCATTGGACATTTTATAATTTTACTGAATTTCGCATAGTTTCATCAATTTTCTCCTTGATAATGTATAATTTCATGAATTTATTTCTAATTTATGTAATTGTATTGTAGGCTATATCTGCATGTATTTTGTACATCTGGAAAAGTGAAAGAAGCAAGATGTTTGTAAGTACCAGGGACCTGTGAGGGACACCTGTGTAGCAATAGGACCTGTTGACTCTGCCATTATATTCATTATTGTGTTTCCCTGCACGCTTTTTCCCCACCTTCGCAATCATCAGAATGAGAGATCAAGGTACAGTGAGTAATTAGTGTCTTGTCATTTGTTTGTGATTGTCCATGTGAATTACGGTCATTATTTCATTACTAGTGCATTTCATTACTGAAGTGTTCAGTACATCTTGCTGGGAGGATATTATAGATTTAAAGTTTGAAGTTCTACTCGTTCAGTTGTGCTGTAAAAACTTTTTATATTATACCATATATTAATTTCATTAATGAGTTTGAGTAAACTTAAACAGTTTATTGATAAGCCTTTGGAAGCACCGGGTTCACTAAAATACCAACCAGTTTTAGTGTCGAGTAGCAAAGGATTTTCTTTAAGGCCTCATTTGGATATTATTGAAAATTTCGGATTTTCAATTGACTTTTATTGTAAAGCTGGTGCTCGATTTGATCAAACCTATAATTGGCTTACCAGAAATTTATCAGGTATTGTTCACAAGCATGGTTCTATTTTACTTTACATTTGGTTGGGTACTTGTGATATTACTACAAAAACTGGTCCATTCATTGATTTGAGTCACAGTACTGATGAGGAATGTTTTACATATTTAAAATTTAATATCGATAAATTTGTTTCATTTGTTTCTAAATTTAAAACAGTCAAACTTGTATTTTTGGAGATACCACCATACTCCATTCAAATTTGGAATACTTACAAGGGCCATGCAAACCCTGAATCTTTTGCACAACTTGATGTGATTTTAGAACGGCGTATCGAGTATTTGAACGCATATATCAAGGAAGGTGTGCACTCACTCAATTTTAAATGTGATTTGCTCCAGTATAAGCGAGCAGGTCGCAAGCCTAGTGTTAATTTTTCTTTATTTAAAGATGGGATCCACCCGAAACCGGTATTAGCAAGGTTTTGGATGAAGCGACTCGTTACCAAAGTGTTCAGTGATTGTTGTTGAGATCATTTATTTACATTCATGTGCACTTGTAGGTAGGGGGCTCCCCAACCACAGTGTTCTGAATTTTCTATTGTATGTTTTTCTTATTATGCAATTTGTATTATGAATGCACTGAACAGTAGCTCATTCACTTCCTTACTTCTACCGTATTTCATTACTTGTGTAGTAACATTATACACTGGTAGTTGTTTACTGGTGTTATTTTATTGTTCATTATCACATACCTGGTAGTTATGGCTGCTAACGGAGTACCCCCTACAAAAGAAATCCCTAAGGCTAAAACTCCTACGGATCAAGCCCCTATAGGGGATAAGGATTTGAAGGAGGAGGGTGATGTACACGAGGGTGACCTCACAATGACTGAGGAACAAATGATAGAGGCTTTAGCCAAGCTGGGAAAATACAAAATTGTACCCCCGGCTAGTACACCCAAGCCTCCCAATCCTGTTAAACATGAATTTAAATTTGTGGGTACTAGTCAGGCCACTCCCTATGAGGAGTTGGCAAACCCCAACCACACATCAGCCTCGAGTTCATCTGTCACCTATGGTACACACCATGTTCCTAAAATACCCCAATTTTCTGGGGAGGAACCACCTCTCAAAGCCGATGTGTCATACGCTGAATGGCGTTTTGAGATTAGATGTCTGCTTAGGGACCCAGATATATCTCAGGGCAGTATTGTACAGGCAATTAGGAGATCTCTCCGTGGTACAGCACGGAGAATTTTACTCACTGTGGGCGAGAAGGCTTCTCCTGATGAAATTTTAAATAAATTAGATTCTCTTTTTAAGGACATTTCTACGCATGGCATGATCATGCAAGAATTTTTAAATTCTAAACAGAAGTCCGGTGAATCGGCAACTGCATTTGGTTGCAGATTGGAGTCTTTACTCCAGATTGCAGTGGAAGATGGCTCATTGCACAAGTCGGCTAAAAATGACCTATTACGTCATAAGTTTTGGACTTCGTTAAGTTCAGACAAACTAAAAAGCCAAACTCGTCATAAGTATGACGCAATAGCCAGTTTTGACACACTGTTAAGAGAAATCCGGCTGGTAGAGAAAGAGTTAAATATCTCTAATACTTCTTCTGGTTCTAGTCATGGTAAGAAAGGACACCAGCATTCAGTTAGTGTTGAATCTGACCAGCAAACAGCTTCCATAGCTGAGATAGAAAAACAGTTTGATAAAAAACTGAAAAACTTGGAAGACAAGCTTAGCTCCCAAATACAGGGTAAGCTTGATAAAATTTTAAACAAACTTGGTCAGTCCTCAGGTCAAGGTCAAGGTAAGAAATCTGGTCAAGGGTCAGGTCATAACAAAGGTCAAGGTCGCGGTGGTTATAACAAGTCTCGAGGCCGCTGGAATAAAAAAGACAAGGCTAAGAATAGTGAAAAAAACTTGGACTAGTCTCTGCCACTGGCCACGCAGAGACTTCACAAAAGTCAAAAGGCCAAGGTCACGAAATATTAGATAGATTATTAGGTGTATCAAATGAGAGCCAAGTTTTTGTTGAAGGTCAAAAGGTCAAAGCCTTGATTGACAGTGGATCTATGGTATCTACTATGTCACAAAGATTTTACAAAACTTTACATGACAGACCTGAACTTAAGGAATTAGAGACACTTGGATTACAAGTCACAGTAGCTAATGGTTCTAACTTGAACTACTTAGGCTATATTGAATGTGAAATTACAATACCATTCATGTCAAATCAAGTGTTTAATGTGCTTATGCTGGTTGTGCCTGATACTGACTACAACAGTAAATGTCCTGTTATACTAGGTACTAATGTTATCCGCCTAGTTAAGGAGGTTACCATTGGTGATTCGTTGTTACCTAATGAATGGAGAGCTGCAGTAAACAGTGTTTCTTGCTCGTATGCAGTGAGAATGTTAAGTAAAAAGCCTGTTACTATCGCTCCGTATGCCACTATTGTTTTAAACGGTATAGCACGAGGATTGGATCCAAATATTACTGATCTAGTCACAGAGAACCAGGATAACTCTGCTCTTAGATATACTGTTTGTCCTCGTGTGGTGAAGTTTAAACAAAATTCAGTTAATGTTAAAGTACCGGTTAAGCTGTGTAATACCTCAGCTAAACCAGTTGTGTTGAGTCTACGTACTGTACTTTGTACTGTCCAACAAGTGAAAGTAGTCGATAATCTGGCCTCAGATCTCCCTACTGTTAGGGAAGAAAAGTTGTCATTGCCTGAAGAACTTGGCTGTTACATCGACAAAACAAACCTCACCGAAGAGCAGTTGTTACGGGTTCGGCAAGTGTTGGGTAATTGGGAACAAGCGTTCTCCAAAA